CCAATGGCGTTTCTGGTGCAGATATTTTAGGTGGTCGTGGGGCTTGCACCCACCACTCACCACTCATTCTCTTCTCCCCCATTGGCCTATCCCGAGCTCTTGCACTTTTCCCCCTTTGTTTCCCTCACTTAGCCCCTCTCAAATCCTTGCAAATCGATTGGGTTGGTCCGTGGATCTGGTGTCATTTTCGTTCGTTGAGGTAACCTCCTTCATCTCACAAATTTTTATTGGTTGGATTTTCCCATTTGAATTGATTTGTTCTTGTTGGTCCTGACCCTAGTTATGAACATGGATGTATAATGTGATGTTTGTAGTATTGTTGTTCCAATGGTGTTGCATTGTGATGTTGTTGAGCATGCCTTATTGTTTGATTTATGACTAATGTTAAGATTTAGGGTTAGGGTTATGCCTAATGTTAAGATTTAGGGTTAGAGTTAGTGGTTTTGTTAGCAATGTGGTATATTTAGCATTGTACATTTTTATACTTATGTTCCCCCTTTTTTAGATGGACAAGATTGTGAATATTCATTATGTTGACAAAGAGGCATTCATGAATGTGGATATTGTTGACAAGTATGAGGAAGTATTGATATTTCTTGAGACACCTAGTTATGAAGAGGTTGTGGAAGAAACACGGATAAGATTAAAGTGGGTGGATGCAAGTGACCAAATTGAATTAGTAGGAAGATATGATGTTGGGTCGGCACACAAGTGTCGAATGAAGACAATGCCTATCAAGTCCAATTTGCATTGGGTTGCATATAAGGAGGTTGTTGCATCCTCGGCAGTCAAGTCACTAGAAGTATTTGCAAGTAAGGTGGTGAAGGCTCCTCTCTTTAATGTTGACTTGAACCAAACCTTAGTAGATGATGTGAGCCCGGTTAGTAGCGTGCCGCCTATTGTTGAGCATAAAGTTGAAGCTGAAGCCAATGCGTATCCCCTATATGAGTTCGGAGGTAGTGCACCGATGAAAGATGATGGTGATGACTCCGACGAAGAGTATGAGAGGCATCACAACATTGTTGGTGACGTAGAGGCCGAAGTAAGGCATCAGGACATGGATCCTGACATTATCTATCAGCGTGCTTGTGTGGATGACTCGGATGATGAAGGCCCGGTGAATGAGTTGGACGAAGATGGCTTGACTGAGAAAGAAGCAGAGTGGTACACAAAAGTCACCGGTAGGGATCACAATGTTCCCTTGTTTTGTGATGTTAGCCTTGCAGATAAGGCTATAGTTGACGGTGGCATGAGCAAGACAATTGAGGCTAGATAGTTCCCAAGTAGTACACCCGACGCGATTTCGATGTCGTACTTGAGGAAAGGTTTGATGTTCGAGACATGCTAGAGTTCAGGATGTGGTTGTGTGAGTATGCTGTCAAACACCACAGGCCTTTCATAGTTGTTCACTCGGACTGCAACAAGCGATACACCGTGAGATGTGAGGTAGAAAGATGCAAATGGAAAGTCAATGGAAGACTCACGAAAGATGGTTGGTGGAAGATAACTAGTTGCAAAGCCACTCACCAATGCACACTGCCGGCCGTAGAAGCACGGGTGACACACCTTCAACTAACCTCGGAATTCATTGGTTATAAATACCAGAAACATATAGCCGAGGATCCAACCATTAAAGTGAAGTTGTTGATGAGTTGGATTGAAGATAAGTTCGGATATAAGGTCAAGTATGGGAAGACATGGAAGGCCAAGCAAGTCGCTCTCAGAATGTTGTAGGGTGGATGGGAATAGGCTTACAACATGTTACCCAGGTTGCTAGGAGCGATGTCTTATAAAAACCCAGGAACGTACCACTATGTCCAAGACATTGAAGGAGTGTTCCGTCGTGCCTTTTGGACGTTTGGCCCATGCATTGCAGCTTTTGAGCATTGTCGACCGGTTCTGTCTATAGATGGGACATTCTTGATAGGGAAATACAAGGGCACACTCATGATAGCAATGGGACATGACGCTAACGATCAGGTGTTGCCTGTGGCATTTGCTTTGGTCTCCGTGGAGAACCAAGACAACTGGGAATGGTTCATGAGACTTGTTAGGAGCACGGTCATTCCTCCGAATAGGGAGGTATGCATCATATCCGATTGGCACCAAGGCATATTGAAGGCCGTGGATATTCATATTCCAGGGCATGCGAGGCTTCACCATCGATGGTGTATGAGGCACTTCGTTGCAAACTTTTACAGAGCTTGCAAAAACAAGGATCTTTGCAAGGATCTTAACTCCGCATGTGTAGCCTTCTCCGTTAAGTCATTCACGACACGTTTGAACAAAATCTATGAGAAGGCAAACAAAGGTGGGAAAGATTTCTTAGAAAGGAATATTGATGAGAGACACAAGTGGTCACGGGCATGTGACGAAGGAGGCATGAGATATGGTGACATGACAAGCAATCTTGTTGAGTGCTTCAACTTTGTCTTGAAGGGTGCCCGTCAGTTGCCGATGACGGCAATAGCGGAATATACCTTTTACAAGCTAAATGAGTATTTTTTGAAGCACTCCGATGAAATTGACAAGTTGATTGCTGATAGTGAGAAGCCTCCCAATGAAATTTATCCGAAGAAGGTTGCCGAGTGGCTGGAGTTTCAGAGAGACAAGTCAGCCATCCAGCGAGTCACTTGTTTCGATAATGTAGAAATGAAATACCAAGTGGATGAGCCAGGTGGGACAACAAGAGATGGACAATCATATGGTGGTCGCTCATTTAAGGTGGCTCTTAGGACAAGACATTGCACTTGTGAGCAGCCTAGTAAGTACCACTGGCCATGCTCACACATGATGTCGGCGGCCCGCATCAGGAATGTGGATATCTCCGATGGAGTAGTTGTAAGGTTGCATGAATTCAACTTGCAAACTCATAAGTTAACATGGGCGTCTAGATTTCACCCTTTTCTGGATGCATCGCAGTGGCCAGAGTATCACGGTCCTAACATTAGGCCCGATCCGGAGATGATGGTACAACCCAAGGGTAGAAGGAGAACAAAGCGATACAGGAATGATATGGATGACCTCATGAGCACCAGAGAGTTTGGTAGTGGACATTTCATGGAGCCACGTGATAGGAACCAATGCGGTGGGTGCAATGAAACGGCACACAACAAAAGGACTTGCAAAACAAACAAAACTTCAAAAGGGCACAATGCTTCTTCAAGTGGTGGCCGAGGTTCCGGTGATGGCCTCGGCGGTGGCCGAGGTTCCGGTGATGGCCGAGGTTCCGGTGATGGCCTTGGTGGTGGCCGAGGTTCCGGTAGTGGCCTTGGTGGTGGTCGAGGTTCCGGTGATGGCCTTGGCGGTGGCCGAGGTTCCGGTGGTGGCCTTGGTGGTGGTCGAGGACGAGTTACCGGTGATGGTGCTCGTGGTATGGGTAGAGGTTCTGGTGGTGGCCGATGTTCCAGGGGTGGTCGTGGTCGAGGACGAGTTACTGGTGATGGTGCTCGTGGTAGGGGTAGATGTTCTGGTGGTGGTAGAGGAGGTTTCATGGGTAGAGGCCGTGGTAATGCTAGAGGAATGTTTGGATACCTAGATGGACCATTTCCGTACGTGGCTACACTTCATAATTATTTTCATGTTTCCCAATATTATTTTCATGTTGTTTTTGTCCTTACTAACTGATGTCTTGTAATTTTTCATAGATATGGCGGCTTCTCAACCCAACAAGGCAACAATGAAGGGGCTTGAGGATGGCGAAGGTGAGATGGCGGGGTGGTGGGAGAAGGCTGCGAAGAAGCTGAGAGAGGAGGATGAAGCCGCACTAAAGAAGAAGAAGGAAGAGGAGCTTGAAGCTGAGAATCAGGAATTGTTGAGAGCATTATATGAGTGTCGCGCTAGGCAGAAAGCGTTGGTGAGGAAATGTGAGGAGGCACAAAAGAAGCGTCAAAGGGATTTTGAAGAAAGAACCATGAAGCTTTGGGCATTCGCAGCTGAGAAAGAGGAGAGGAAGAACAAGATATTCATGGAGAGGGTGGTTAAGGAGGCTCATCTCATAAGGAAAAGGGAGGAGGAGGAAGAAGAAGAGAGGAAGAAGAAGAAGGGAAAGGGGCCTTGCTCTACACAATAGAGCTATGATGTGAACTGTGCCATGCTTTGGACCTTCGTGTGCATTTCATCTTGAACCTTGTTGTTGCCTAGACTCCTTTATGTGGTGAGCTATGTGTACTCTAAATTGCTTCGGACTCCTCTATGTGTACTCTTTATGTGGTGAACTATGTGATGTCACAATTGCGCTAGAATCCTCTATGTGTACTCTTTTATGTGGTGAACTATGTGATGTCGCAATTGCTCTAGACTCCTCTATGTGTATTACTTTATGTGATGAACTATGTGTACCACCAAATTGCTTTGGAGTTTGTTTTTGACTTCCTGTTCTGACAGAAACGCCAAACCAGTTGGCGTTTTACTACGCTTTGGCAATGCCAAGGGCGCTGGCGTTGCAGACCTACATAGAAACGCTGTATTTGGCTTGGCGTTCCTTTAAGATAGAAGCTGCCTGGGGTTCGTCCATGAAACGTTGGCTGTATGCTTGCAATGCCAAAGGTCCTGGCATTTCTGATCTACACAGAAACGCTTCACGAGGTTTGGCGTTCCTTTAAGACAGAAGCTGCCTGGGACACGTACAGAAAACGTTGCAGTTCACAGAAGAAACGCCAGGTACGGCTGGCGTTTCCATGCCACATCTAAACGCCAACATCTATGGCGTTTCTGAACTTCTATGCCTACCAGACCAAACCATGCCAAGTACAGCAACAGATTATCAATGATCCAATAGTTTTCACAATATAAATGCCAAGTACAGCAACAGTATATCAATGAGACATTAGAGCAACGAACTTAACATGATCCAGCTTACATAATAATTAACAAGTCTTGGTGACATAGAAATAACAAGTCCATCAAATATAGAACTAACGAGTTTGCTCCATCTGAAAAGGTAACTACATTTCTAGTTCACCAGATATAGAACTAACAAGCTCGCATCAGTCATCACTTCACTTCTTGCCTCTTTTCGCAGGCATCTTCCCCTTGTTGACGTAGCCCTCAGGAGTGTTCTGCCATCCAGGACGTCGGATGTTCCTTGAGCTAACTCGGCGTGCTTCTTGAGAAGGCTGAGTAGGTTGAGTTGGCTGTGGAGCATCTTCCATCTGCGAAGCCCCAAGCTCCAAATAGTCCGGATCCGCATCGAAGTCTATATCCTCATCTTCATCTTCCTGTTCATCAAACCGTGCTCGGCTGGAAGAAGGACGAGCGGAAGAAGCACCAGGACATGCTTGGCTCGAAGATGGACGAGCAGAAGAAAGAACATCCATTCTATATTGAGCACGTGCACGCACATCCGTTGATGAACCTCCATGGCAAGAGAGTAAAGCGGCTAGTGTTCGGCAACGATTCACAACCTTCTGCAGAGGCAAAGGCATTGACATGTAAATATGCAAAAAAAGTTCACATGATATAAAATAAATGTTCATATTAAAAAGGCCTCTAACCTGTAGAGTACTCCTAACGAGACCGTCTGTTTCTCTACCAGGTGCGCGGCCAAGCACCACATTACTATCATTAATACATCTCCATAGCTCCGTGCCCTGAATAAAACTTAAGTGAGACACCACTCATGAAGAAATGACACATGTTCAAAAAAGAGACAAAAATGCATACCACTCGGTCATGCAGAGGGCCATAATCTAGGTGCGCTCCAATGGTCTCCCTAATAGAGTTGTTGAATGCACCATCAGCAGCCTCACTTGGCATTAATTCCAAGCAATCGGCACGAGTCCAAGCACCCTTAAGGATAACTCTGTACTCTTTGCGAAGCCACTCCAAATGCCTTAAATATGCCCCCTTGTCGTTGTCAGGTGTGTGATCATCTTCAACTCGGGCATTCCTCTGAGCATTCCACATGTCCACCCACATAAGATGGTGATCCTCCCAATTAATGACATTCTTGTTGTGTTGCCGGCTCGTCCTACAAAGCATGAGAAGTATCGGTATCAATTTCATTTTTCAGTGGTTACACATTGATCAACATATGGTACAAAAACTCTCACCTATGTAGCACCACACTTGTCTCAACATACTCCGGCGGGGTGCGTTGTTGTACTCCAAATTGCTTCGAAACACGATGTGGAAGATGCCACTCCACCGCAAAAAAGCATATCATGGGGCAACGCACACGCCAAAGATGTTGGTCACGAAAGCACATATTGCTCAAAGGGAACTGCCTAAGTACCATGTACGGCCTCCAATTAACCTACATCACAACATGTCACTAGCTCATGCACAACAACAAAATATCTGAATTGATAGCAAGGCATTTGATATTTACCTGGTTGTAAGTAAGCATGTCGAGCTCGCTTATGTATGCCTTGTACCGCCCCATGGCTGCGATACTAGACACTTGGACATTAGCCCACATGTATGCGATAGTGGGATACCGCTCCTCATCCCCGTCAAAAGGCCACTCCCAGGGTTCTTCCGGAGCAATGGTCAAGTTACGGCGCACAGGGATACGCTCCCACATCCAAATCTGTAGGGCCCAAACAAAACCACCAAGACAAGATTTCGGCTTACTCCTCATACATGCTCCGTCCAACTACACATTTGTATACACATTAAACAATCACATGCAAAAAATTCTTTCATATAATGAAAATTCATCAAATTAGCATTACCTGACGGTACAAGAAGGCTAGTGCCGCCGACCCCCAACTCCACTTAACATCCCAGTTACGAAGAGGGTCCAAGAACATCCACGAGGCTGTGTCTCCCGTGCCATCAAGAAACACCACTTGGGTCAAAAGATTCCATAAGTAAGCCCTAGCATACCTTTCCACAACAGCCGGACTAGCATTCTCTGGGCACTCGTAAAAATGTTCTTGTAGCCACGAGAACAAAACACCAGATGGCCTAGGATCCTTCTTTGTTTCATGAATCCACGGGGGAGGTTCAACACCAACCAAACCTGCAACCCTTTGTCGCCACCCCTCGGACTTTACCTTCCCGGTAAGAGCCCTGCCCTCGATCGGAAGACCGGAGATCATCGCAATATCCTCCAAAGTGACAGTCATCTCACCAAGAGCAAGGTGAAAAGAGTGCGTCTCCGGCCTCCAACGGTCCGTAAGGGCGGTAATGGCCGTCGAGTTCAGCCATGGTGGTGTGCCTTTAAAGTTGAGCACAAACTAGAGAAGATCCATTCTTCTAAAATAAGGCTCGTAGCGACGGTCATACCTCAGTGACTCACGTGGGTTGTGGCCTCTCAACCGAAGTACTGGAGGAACCTACAAAAATCACACGCACAATTTATATACTTCTCTAAACTACTCACAATATACTCACAATATGATAATGTAGATACATAATTACCTCCCCTCTTTCCACAAGCACAGCACGATGCTTCTCCTCGTAATAATCATCAAGGCCGGGATATTTATCCGGCTCAAACATCCTAAAAAATAAGGTACATGGATTTGTTATGATATATGCTTAAAATTATGACCACATCATATACAAAATTGTGTGAGAACTACTACAAATTATCCCAAAGATATAAATAAAGAACCACATTACCAACACTAATTCTTTTCAACCTATTTTATCCTAAAGAATCTATCACAACTAATTATTAACAAATAATAGGTTCAACCTAATCCTAAAAATGGGCTCTCTCTAAATCCAATACTATACAAGTTAACTAAGAATACTTCAACAGTATATCCCCAAAATATTCATCAAACAAATCACTAATAACTCATCTTAGGGTTCCACCATGTTTGAAAAAATGCATCTAAAATAGCCAATCTTGACTGAAAATAAATGGAGGATTGGGAAGAGAATACCTCAAGCAACTCGGGGATGCTTCGATCTACTCGTTTTGATGATCAATATAGCAGATCTGGGGGGGATTTGGGGGAGAAGAGGGAAGGGGCGGCCGCCAGTTCGTCAAGAACTGCCCGACAGGGGCTGGGACTGCGAGTGGACTCGGTTACCCCCGCGGCCCGCCGTGCAATACTTCATCTAGCCCAGAAACGCCAAGGACATTGGCGTTTCACATGTGCCACGTCAGCGAAAACAGCGGGTTCGGACTGACTGTGGGCCAGGGCAGAAACGCTAGCTACCACGACGTTTCTGTGTTGGCCAGGAACGCTAGCTGGCTCGGTGTTTCGATGTTGGCTGGAAACGCCGCGGGCCCTGGTGTTTCTAAAAGGGTCAAATCATGAAATACTTTTACGTCGGGTTCAGTTTGTGACGATAAACGTGCATAAGGTCAAAACAGTGATTTCGTCCGGGGATGGTGGGGGAGGGCTTGTGCGTCGCCAACGCGACGTACTGGGGCTATTTATAGCCAGGCCCGGCCAGGGTGAGGCCGGTGACCGGAGTAAAGGCGGCCGAGACAGCGAGACCCGGCATCAATGATGGCCTCGAGAACCGGCGAGACGTCTCACAACGCCCAAACCGTCGTCCACACGACACGTCACGGGTGACATGATGGGTTAGACTGCCCATCGCCCTTCGGCCATGTGACATGACACACGTCTGATTCGACCACGTGCCCCAGCGTAACACACACATATGCAGCGTGCCCGACGCGCGTACGACTGGTTGGGTGTGTGTATTCATAGATACACGGTGGGAGTTATCGTGTGACATCTTTTATAAATAAGACCATCATGCCATTCTTTATGAAGAGATAAGGAGTAGTTTCAGTAGTTTATGTGTTTAGGGGGGTTTACCGAAGCATAAGGGTAGTAGTCTCATGTCTTACTTAGATTGTGCAATGAGAATTTTGGGTGCTGGTAGTGTACCCTGATGAATGATGAATGATGATCATAGTTTCCTGGCCTTCTTTTTGTATGTACAACGCTCTAGTCTCAGCTGCTTTTGTGAGTACTATGGGTTGCACTAGTCTTGGTGATGCATTCTTAGCATGGCTAGTGACTACAAGTTTTAGGCCACTTGACTCCATTGTAACTTGAAGAGATGACGTGAATCGTGCATTAGTGAGGACAGTGGCCAACAATTTTTCTATGGGCTGAATCTGCTTGCCGATGTTAACAATGTCTCACTACTGGACTCGCCCTCTAAGCCGACAGCCGCAGGCCGTCGGCATAGGCCATTTGCCATTGGCTTAGGTCTATGCCGATGGCAGCCGTCGACATATCCCCGTCGGCATAGATCATGTCAACGTAGATGCGTCAGACCTCGACATAGGAAAGCCATCGGCATAGGCGCCTATGCCGATGACATCGCATATCATCGCCATCGGCAGCGATTTTCACCTGATGGCAGCGGACGGCGCCGTCAAACACGCTGACAAACCACGGGCTGCCACATGGCAGGGACATGCCGATGGCCAAGACGTCGGCATATCTCTGCCACGTGGTAGCCTCCGGGAGCTCCTGGCAGCAGGGATATGCCGACGGCCAAGCCGTCGGCATATCCCTGCCACGTGGCAGGCACTGGGCAGTCCTGGGCATATCTATGCCGACGGCAAACTGTGTTTTTTTATTTTCTCTGTTTTTCCTATTTCAATTCATTTTGACAGCATTTCAAACCAGAAAATATGGGATTATGCAAAAATATGACAGTTCATCATCTAAAGATACTCAAGATCATCATCATCATCTAAATATACTCAAGTTCATCATCTAAAGATCATCATCGGCGAAACTTCATGAACATAAGTAGTGCAAGACATAAAACATCATCATCGTCTAAAGAATCTAACAAGTAGGAGCATGAAAAGTATGGCACGACGGCCACATGCATGGGTATCATCCTCGACATCAGGCAAGACCACCGCCGCCAAAACCACCACCGCCAAGACCACCACTGCCAAGACCACCTCCGCCAAAACCGCCACCGCCAAAACCAGCACCACTCTGCCAGATCGAAGTGACTGGGGTTGACGAAGCAGGAGTCGAGCCACCGGTCCCCTACATGTTTGAGAGAAGATTCTAACGGTAAATATAATATGATAGTGTTGAATGAACGAGAACTAGTTAGTTAGGCAAATGTACTAACCGGACTATCACTGCCTAGTGCCACCCATTCATCGAACGTGGGCACGTGTGGGGGTTCTCCCGCAGGTGGTGGTGGGGGTCCCATTTATGGTGGATCCGTGTGGTTACTCCAAGACGCTAACATAGCTTGGATGTTAGTTAAACAAGCAAACTAGAAGGTCAGAAGGAATGAAAGTGCAAAAATTTAGCTTGGTTTTAAGAGGCAAAACTAACCGTCATCATCTGACGGTTGTAATCATCGTTTGCCTTCACTCGTTGCAAGTACTCCCGCACCTCGAGATTCCTATGCTCGACAAAGGCCTTGTATGCCTACAAAATTTAGGTTGTTTCTAAGTGAGCAATGTTGAAAATAAACTGAGAAAGTTAGAGAGAAAGAAGATAAGGGGGAAATACTTACAACATGCTGGCGGGCTAAGGGAGTCTGCGAATGCCCCGTACTCTCTAACGGGCTCGGGTTGGTAGCCCTAAGCCGTGTGTACGAGAACGAAGGAGTGATCAAGCCATCAAAACACGGGTAGCAGCCATGGGGCTTCCCCTGGATGGCCACCACCGCCGTGTCGTTGATCTGAGACTGGGCGGCGCCAAGAACATCCGGACTAGGTGGATGCAACCTCTCAAAGTGCTGAGTGTAAGACTGCAGGTGCTCCTCGGTCTTGCTGTAGTATTCGCTCTCGCCGGCCTTGCGATCAATCCGCTCACGGGCCATCTTCCACGACTCGATGTCTAAGAGCGGCCTCTTCAACTTGTCCTCCTGCAACGTCAAACAGAAGTTAGCCATACATAAGAACATAATGGTAGAAAGAAGAACAAAAATGCATCATGCATATGCATATACCTTCATGGCCTTGAAGCCCCAGTGGTTCCTGTTTCCTTGGCCGTGTGTCCCGTCCTTTCCACGGTTAGCCCGGTCCTTGCCGCTCTTGGTAGCAAACTCTACATCCTCACCGAGCCACCTATCCACCAAACTCACCCATCCCTCAACCTTTCCATAGCACCAAGGAGGAATAACCTAAAAAAATGGAAGCATGACATGTAAGCACGAAACAACTAAGTTGACTGCTTATATGTTGGAACGAGAAGTCAGTAATAGTTACCCTCATGAACTGTTCCCTATTCAAGGTAAGCCATTGCTTCTGCGCTACAATTTTGCTCATCTTTTGTTGAAGGTAGGTGTGGTAGTGGTGCAAGACGGCAACCCAGCGCACCTCGTACTGCAACTGATGAGCTTTCTTCTTCGCAGCCGCCAGCAAGACCACGTCGGCTCTCGCCTTGTGCTCGTCAAGAACTCTATAGAGTTCCTGCAATCATGCATAAAACCAGAAGCAAATAAGGCATGAGTTGAGTGTTAATGATAAACTATGAAAAAAATTGAAGACAAGTGATTAGGAAGAGAACTTACCCAAAATTTGGTGATCACGGCCTTAGCGGTCGTCCCGTACTCCGCGTGGCTAGAAGCCTCGTAGTGGGCCTAGCTCGTGGCCAAAACTCGCAGATCCGGGTCCCTGTCTGGCCACGGGCAGAATAGGCCTGGCCAATACTCCTTCAATAGGGTAGTGATAAGGCTGTTCGGTTTACGACCCTTTCCGTGAAGGATCCAGTTCCTACAAAAGAATCAAAGATTTGGCATGTGTACAATAAGAAAATGTGGTCATGTGTTGAAAATATGATTGTGAGGCACTTAATCTATCCCCGCCGGTTCAATGAGCCACTTGTGCGCCTCGATAGAAGGTGGTGTAGGTACTCCAGCAATACCACGCAGCCACCCCTTTGGAGCACCCGACGGAAAGTCACCCCACAGCTCGGGGTCAACGTCCACTCCACCACCCTCCTCGCCCTCCTCCTCCTCACCCTCCTCATCCTCTTCCTCGCACCCCTCCTCCTCGCCCTCCTCCTACTCACCGTCAGGAACATACTCCTCCTCCTCAGACTCAGAAGGTGGCTCATTATAGGAGGGCATCGAAGAAGACCCCCTATTTCATACACAACCCGAAGTTTTTTGACCCGGGCGCCTCTCCCCCCACCTCCGCCTCCTCTAGGGTCTCTCCCCC